CCCCGGGCGGCGTCGGCCCTTGCCCACCCCGCCTTGAGTGATTTATCACCTAATCGTCAATTCGCAAGATAAAGTCATCGTTCTGAAGGGAAAGAACTCTTTGAGGGGATATTGGCCGGGTAGCGAGGCGGGGCGGCCCTTTGAGGCGCTACTTGATCCCTTGCATCCCGTCGAATGGAATGGAATGCGCCCCGTGAGTTTTTTTGCCGGCTCGAGTGCATCGGCGACTCGCGCGGTCCCTTCGGAGGGGTCGCCCCGGTCGCGGGAGTTTCCGGAAGTTGGAGGACTTTTAGCGATACCGAGGTATTCCTTTGCGACGTTTCCACATGGTTTGTGACTCCTTTGCATAGAAAGCTTGCACGCACTGGAAAAAAACACATTGGATCTAGAGTCCAGACTCTTGAAAACATTGACAAGAAAAAGGACTCTTCATTCAATCGGATTTTTGCTTGAATCAAAACGAAATCCGCTTAAATTAAGAGGCTTGGTTCTTGATTTAAGCTAGATTCTGATCGAATCAAGAGTACTTTTTCTTGTCGATGTTTTTAAGAGTCCGAACTGTAGATCCAATGTGGTTTTTTTCCAGTGAGAAGTTGGTCGTTTTACTTGTCATTCAACGCAAATTACTCACTAGCAGCCAGAGAACCGTTCTCTATTTGAGTCAAACTGCACATTGTTAATCGTACCTACACTGAAAAAAAACACATTGGACCTAGAGTCCAGACTCTTAAAAACATCGACAAGAAAAAAATACTCTTGATTCAATCAGATTTAAGCTTAAATAAAGAGCCAAGCCTCTTGATTTGAGCGGATTTCCTTTTTATTTAAGCTTAAATCTGATTGAATGAAGAGTCCTTTTTCTTGTCAATGTTTTCAAGAGTCTGGACTCTAGATCTAATGTGTTTTTTTTTCCAGTGCGTGATTTTTCGAAGAACGGTTGGTCTATCGTCCAAAGAAAAAACACCGTAACTCCGTTCAAGATTTGGCACTTTTCTTCAATACTGCCGTGCTAAGGAAGAACGCCGTATGAACCTTTAGACGCATATTTCCTTCAAATAATTACGAATTCACCTGGAAAATAGTGGATATTTGTCTTCAAATTTTTTGGACGGTTTTGTCGGCAACTTAATCCAAAATATCTGACAATTTCAAGGAAAAACATTCAAGAATACCCTTGAAAACGTATAATTTATGGGGGCAACTTGGCAACATTTGAATATTCATACGGCATCCTTCCTTAGCACGGCAGCATACGCGATGATCTTTTTCGAGAAAACCTGATCATTACAACACACTTAAAAAGTTTCGTAAGTATAGTTATGTTGGATTACCCTGAGTTACTTCTCTTCCATCAGATTAGTCAAAAGAAATTGGTTGATCGACCAAAGTTTTGGTTAAATCGAAGGAAACCGTAGATTACACGGATACATCTAGGGATGTAGAAAGTACCCTGCTGAACTCATAAACTCTTGCTAAAAAATAGATCACATCAGAAGATTTACTCCTTTAGACCAGGAGTAATCTTCACTTTGCAAACCGCCTTCGAATGGTCGTATAGGCAATTTCACGACCTGGATGCGCGAATAGTTGCTCGACCTAATTAAACCTCAGTCTGCGGTAAGTAGATCATTTAAAAGGAATCACTGCACCAGGCGAGGAGTAAGCTCCGCTTTATAAACCGCCTTCAATCCGTCGTACAAGCAAATTTCACGACCTGGGTGCGCGAATAGTTGTTCGGCCTAATTTAACCTGAGTCCGCGGTTTAGCTAGTTTTAACAGTCGTATATCAAAAAAGTAATGATTACAGTATTTATAAAGGAATTTAAGACTCACCATGCAGCTCTAAAGGATATATCGCGGGATGTAACAAATCTTCCTTAACTTTAGAATGTTAAGATGAGATGTCAACCTGCGAACATACAACACAACATGTTCATATCAACATTGTAGAATCTTTAAACAGATTTTTATAATTTCAGTGTGTTAATTCAATAATTTTATTTCCGTGGTGACAAAGTGAACGCTGACAATGGAGTGGTCATCAAGTCCGCTGAGATCTAAAATTCTACGATGATTTTCAAAATTCCGACGAAATTGTCGTTTCCACAACGACCGTGGTATTCGACGAATTTTCTCGTTTCTTTCACCGGTAAAAGTCGAAACAACGCCTTAATCAATATCAGGAAAATCGGTCTGGCGGAATAAAAACCCTCGGCTCGCTTTCAGTATGAAAACTCATCTCCATAAAAATCCGCCAGCCTCAAAAATGAAAGGAACGATTACAAGAAATGAAGATAAAAACATCCTTTCAAGTTCAGTCGCATAAAACCGTCATTTTTATTTCCTCGGTCTCTCGCTTTTCTTTCTCCGTCTGCATCGCCGTGGTTCGGAAAAACACCGATTGAACATTGATACGTTGTCAAATTTTTTCCTGATACAATCATTATTTTTGAAATCAGTTATCAATATTTGTCTTTGAAATTTTCGGATACTACGAATTGAATTGTGAACAAAATTCCGTAAAAAAATTGAAGAACAATACAGATTAATTCGCGAGAAAATTTGATTTTTATCAGGGAAGATTTGGCAACGTCCAAAGACTCATACGGCGTTTTTCCGTAGTACAGCAGTGCACCTCGAGGAAGCTACCGCATACGGTCGGATTACGAAGAAAAACTGAGGCTAAGGAAAAACGTCGTATGTAAATTTGAGCGTTGCCAAATTACTCCTATACAATCCAAATTTTCACTAATCTTGTGAATATTTCCCGTTTTAAATTTTAGAGAATTTCACGTGTATTTTGGTCTACCGTTCCTGAATTTTCCAAGGAAACTTGTTCCAAAATTTCCTGGGGAAAAAATTGATTTTGTCGAGGATAATTTGGCTATGTTCGAGCGCACCTACGTCGTTCTTTCCCGGACGGTCGGGAGGAGTCCATCCGATGAGCCTATTAAAAGTGCCGCACACAAACTTAGACAACATAAAGGAAGTGAAGTTATTGCGCAAGAAAATATTATATACCAATAAAGGAGGTTTACGGCCTGCGCCTTGCACGGCGGGATGAGCGTCCGTTCCCGCCGAAAGACACAAACGTATAGGACCAGTAAAAGGTGTTACGGCCCCTTCATTGGTGTATAAAAATAGGTTCGCCTTTAATGCCTTCTCATCATAATAAAACGCAAACTTTTATTTCTTCAGTAATTCGAGTCCGACCTCATACCTCTGAATTTCATTCGAATTAAAATACGCCCGGGAAAAAAAGTTCGCCCCTCTCTCGTTCGGCAAATTACTAATTTAAAAAATTATACTCGGCGATCTAACTTGGTGCGCTCGCCCCTTCGTGAGATGAACTTCAAATTAAGCTCCGTTCAGACCTGCACGCCGGCCGGGCGTTGGGGTGCGGGAAGGGGTGGGTCGGGGGGTGGAGGGGGGGAAATGAGGGGGGTCCGCGCAGGGTAACGTTACTTCTCCTGGGGGTATAAAATAATCCGACCGGACTGTACTTTCATCAGTTCCATCACATCTACTTTCATGGTTTTATTTAGCTTCGCTTTTGGAGGTGAAAATGATTTCTCTCTTTCGGTCCCTATTGAACCCTTTTTTCCGCGGCGCCGATTCGTCCCGAATTGCACGCCTGCTCTGAGCCTCCGACGGTTTTAGCGTTGCGAGTTCGGCCGGTCACCTATGTGCCGGGCGCTTCTTTGAAGTGGTCGCTGCCTCGTTCGAGTTTGATTGAGATCATCGCGAATACTGCCGTGCTGAGGAGGAACGCCGTATAAGCCTTCAGACGTTGCCAAGTTTCCTTCGATAAAAACCGAATTTTCTGGGAAAATTGGGAATATTATTTTCCAAAATTTTCAGACAATCTTGTGCGCAATTTAATCTAAAATATCTGAAATTGTCAAGGAAAAATATCCAAGAATGTCATCAAAAATACATGTTTTATCAAGGGAAACTTGGCAACTCTCGAATGTTCATACGGCGTTCTTCCGTAGCACGGCAGAATACCTAACCGTTGTCGCGAACCGCTTAATAAGGATGGACCACAACATCCAATACATGGACTGCCAAATGGACTACTTATTTCTAACTTTTTTCAAGTACAACGCATGTAACTTCCATTTCTCTACAAAGATAGATGCTTTTATGAATACGCTAGAAATGATGGTTTCTACCGAACGAGTATGTTGCACGCAATTGACAGGCAAATAAATACACTCAACACGGGAAAATGTCACAAAAATCATGTTGTACACGTCAAAAAAGTCTGAAATCCACTACTTCCTTTTCTTTGCACTTTCATTTTAATGCAACGAAGGATATTTGAGGGGCTTGGAGGATGAGGCGCATTAGTGGAGTTTTTGCTATTTCGAGAGATACGTGTTTAAAGTCTCGAAATCTCACGGATCCAAATGGCGGAAAGAAACATCAAACCGACTTTTTGATGCTTAGAAATTGGAATTGGAGAGCTAATTTTACACACAATATGCATTAAGACTAGTTTTACTAGAAATAATTGAAATCCCAATTTCTTCAAAAATGGCACTTTTGCGCCTTGCCCTCCAAGCCCCTCATACTATCGTCTCCCGCACGAAGGAACGTACCTCCATTCCAAGGTTGCAAAACTGACTCGAGCAATTCAATTTTTAACAAGAATACAGCTGTACAAATTCACTCCAAAATTTGTCTGATTTTGCTCGAGATCTGAAGATAAATCAGTGAAATTTTCGATTAGAAATGCCGACGATTCTCCCGATAAAAATAAAATTTGCACGGGGAATTTGGCAACACTGAAATGGA